GGACTGCCGTCACTCAGCCTCACGTCTGGAAGTTGTTCTTGGATGGGCCCTGGGCATTCCTAGACGCACATTCCTGGCAGCTGGAGAGCCTCGTAGGAAAGATTCTTCTCGCTTGAAAATATCCGGTCCACGTGGAGGAGAAAGGGGCCGGGGCAAAGCTCAGCTCTCCCACCCACCGCCCCGCACACCAGGCAGCGTGCCCCCGTGCTGGTGGGCATCCCGGGACCACGGCAGGAGGACATCTCATGTGTGTCCCCCACTCTGAGGTGACCACAGTCCAACCCCAGCAGTGCTCTGCCCCCCCAGATGCAGTTCCCATAGGAAGATAGGACGGGGGTCCCCAAGGGTGCAGGTGCCCCCATGCTGGTGGACATCCTACAACCATGGCAGGACATCTCCTCTGTGTGTCCCCCACTCTGAGGTGACCACAGTCCAACCCCAGCAGTGCTCTGCACCCCCAGATGCAATTCCCATAGGAAGGGGGTCCCCGAGGGGTCCAGCATGAGCACTGGGGACCCCTGTGGAGAGGGAAGGTCGGCAGAGCCCGGGGTCTGCAGGAAAAGCACCCCCTGTTCTGCAGGGCTGTTAGAGGGGGAGGGCAGGTCCCAAAGAGGCAGGGGGAGGCAGATTTAACGGGGACCACAAAGCTTCCTGGTAATAACACCATGGCAGGATGGGAATTTTGGGCTCCTCGGCCCAAGGAGGGGTCAAGCCCCAGGAGAAGGTGCCTACCCCAGGTTCTGCCCACTGCCAGGGCTGGGAGACGGTGCCCAAAGCGGGACCCAAGGAAGCTCTCCTGGAAGCCACCGTGCTTGGGACGCCACGATCGATCTCCAGCAGCAAAAGCCTCTGCTGATTCAAAACCAGGGCTGGCCAGGCCGTGCCAGGTCTGGTGCTGCAGCCCCAGCCAGGGCTGAGCATCACCTCCACGCAGGACCCGCTCTCCAATCCCACCCCGGGGCCTGAGGAGCTGGACCACAGGGAGATGGACGTGTGTCCCAGCAGGAAGGGAAAGCGCCCCGGGGATCGCACTTGGATGGAAGGTGCTAGAGAAAAGCGGGCTCGTTAGTGGAGCTAAACGAAAGCAGATGCGGAGGGGAGCCGGGGCTTCCAAAGCACACATGGTGAGCGCCCAGCGCCGCGAGATGGAGATGACAGTGGCTTGGATTTCAGAAGCTGCCGATGAGCTGTGGTAGCACATTGCAGAGGTGAAAAACACCGGCTGGGAGTGACAACACCCTGCGTGGAGCTCCCGCTGGGGAGGGCACTCGGTGGGGGGGGGATGGACACGCACTGTGGTCCACCAAAACTGGGGGGAAACCCGAGACTTTACGGCAAAACGGCAATTCCCATTTCTGGCCGAGGTAAAACGCCGCTTCTCGGCACAAGGCGCACTGCAGGGTCGAGAGGGGGCTGTACCAGGGGGGTCTTGCCTGGCTGCCCCCCACCCCCTGGGGTTGTGTACGGGGAGGGCTGGAGCTGGTGGGGATCACCGGTGTCCCCTGTCCCCAGCAGCGTGGCCAGAAGGGAGGGGGGGGACATTCTGCCCCTCTGCTCCGCTCTGGGGAGAACCCCCCCAGTGCTGCCTCCAGCTCTGGGGCCACCATCAGAAGGACATGGACCTGTTGGATGGGGCCAGAGGAGGCCCCGGAGATGCTGGGAGGGCTGGAGCCCCTCTGCTGGGAGGGGGGGCTGAGAGAGTTGGGGGGGTTCAGCCTGGAGAAGAGAAGGCTCCAGGGAGACCTCAGAGCCCCTTCCAGTCCCTCAAGGGGCTCCAGGAAAGCTGGGGAGGGACTCTGGATCAGGGAGGGGAACCCTAGGACGAGGGGGAAGGGTTTTAAGCTGAAAAAGAGGAGATTGAGGTGAGATCTGGGGAGGAAATTCTTTGGTGTGAGGGTGGTGAGAGCCTGGCCCAGGTTGCCCAGAGAAGCTGTGGCTGCCCCATCCCTGGAGGGGTTCAAGGGCAGGTTGGAGGGGGCTTGGAGCAACCTGGGCTGGTGGGAGGTGTCCCTGCCCAGGGCAGGGGGTGGCACTGGGGGGGCTTTAAGGTCTCTTCCCACCCAAACCATTCAGTGGTTCTATGATTCTATGACAGGTTATGGGACAAGTTTGGGGACAGGAGCAGGGTCTGCCCCTGCACACACCTACGAGGCTGACAGAGATATAAATTCTTGCTCATTCTTGCTCTCTGGGGAGGAATTTAAAGCCAATTAAAGCACACACGTGCCCTTGGCAGGAGCTCTGGCAGTGGAGGTGTGCGGTGGGCAGCTCCTCAAGGGTTAATTCCTCCCTCTCTGCCCCATTAGCAGCAGCAGCAGCAGCAGGAGGCTGGATTTCGTGCTGCAGGAGGGGAGGGAGCCCTCTCAGGGGGTCTCTTTGCAGGAGCCCAGTTCCTCAGCTCCAGCCCAGAAGGGGCGACGCAGCCCTGACCCAGGCACCAGCTGCCCATGAACCCCAAAGCTTGGGGCTGGGGGGACCCCATTCCTACTCCAGCACGTAGGGTCCTCTGGGAGCCCCCCTGTGACAGCACCCACGAGCCCAGCCAGGCCCATGGAAGCCATGGGTGAGGATGCAGGTGATGGATGTGGGTGATGGGTGAGGATGAGGGTGATGGGTGAGGATGCAGGCAAGGGGTGAGGATGAGGACGATGGGTGAGGATGAGGGCGATGGGTGAAGATGAGGGTGATGGGTGAGGATGAGGGCAATGGGTGAGGATGCAGGCGATGGGTGAGGACGCAGGCAGGGGGTGAGGATGAGGGCGATGGGTGAGGATGCAGGAGAGGGGCAAGGAAGCAGGCAGAGGGTGAGGATGCAGTCAATGGGTGAGGATGAGGGCGGTGGGTGAGGATGAGGGCGATGGGTGAGGATGAGGGTGATGGATGAGGATGAGGGCGATGGGTGAGGATGCAGGTGAGGGGTGAGGACACAGGCAGGGGGTGAAGATGCAGTCAATGGTTGAGGATGAGAGTGATGGGTGAGGATGAGGGCGATGGGTGAGGATGAGGGCGATGGGTGAGGATGCAGCACGAGTCCAGGGATGCCACAGGAGTCCCCGTGTGCCCGGCTGCAGGTGAACCGCATCCCACCCTCGCCAGCCCCCCGCCAGGCACCAGCAGGACCCCCGTCCCAGCCCCGTGAAGGGTTAATTCCCCTTGGAGGAGGACGGAGGGTGAGCTCAGGTAGGCGTGAGCCTGTGCTTCTCCCACTTCCAGAGCCGGAGCAGGGCTGCCTGCCGGAGGAGGGGCCTGGCTGACCACTGCTGCTGCTATAAAACTCCGCTCCTGCCACACTCGGAGTCTTAAGATGCACATGTGTGGGGAGAGGAAAGAGGCAGCCCTGCCGGGGAGCAGCCCTTAACCCCTTCTGCACGGAGAGAGCCGGGACAGGGGACCCCCCCGCAGCAGCACACCCCCAGCCGGAGCCCACCCGGGGAGGGCCACGCCATCGGGGGCTCCCTGGACCCCAGCCCAGGGAGCAGCATGAGCTGCTGGAGCTGAGGCCGTCCCGCAGCAGGAGGAGGTGGGCAGAGAGCGGCCGGACCCCAAGGCGGCTTCCTCGGCGTGTGTCCCCCTCCCTGGCTCCCCCCTCCCCCCCCAAAAAGATGTCCTTTGCCATGCTGCGCTCGGCCCCCAGCCGCTACCTGTACCCCGAGATCAGCATGCTGTCGGAGGACGAGGAGAACGGCAGCGAGAGCTCGGGCTCCGACGAGAAGCCCTACCACCTGGACGCCGACGGCTTCGGCATCAAGGCCGGCAAACGCCGGAGCGGCAAGAAACCCACCCGCATCCACCGGGAGCCCCGGCAGCGCCACACGGCCAACGCGCGCGAGCGGGACCGCACCAACAGCGTCAACACCGCCTTCACCGCCCTCCGCACCCTCATCCCCACCGAGCCGGCCGACAGGAAGCTCTCCAAGATCGAGACCTTGAGACTGGCCTCCAGCTACATCTCCCACCTGGGGAACGTGCTGCTGGTGGGGGAGGCGTGCGGGGACGGGCAGCCCTGCCACACCACCCCGGCCTTCTACCACCACGGCGGGGGCGGCAGCCCCCCCGCCCGCGACGCCGAGAACTCCCAGCCCAAACAGATCTGCACTTTCTGCCTCAGCAACCAGAGGAAGCTGGTAAGTGGCTGCTCGGCGCCGTCCCCGAGGGGCTCTGGGCCGGAGGGGGGCTGTGCCGGCTGTGGTGGGGGACCCCCGGGCGTCCCCAAGCATGGCCGGTGCCAAGGGGGGTCGGTGGCCATGGGGCCAGTGTGAGCCGAGGGGAGATGGGATGGCTGGGAGAGACGGAGCAGGGCCGGCGGGAGCTGGAGAGGACGGCAGAGCCCGAAACTCGGGCATGGAAAATAGGGTGCCTGCCTTTAGCCTGTCTGGATTTGCTGCCCAAAGCCCCCCGCGGACCCCCCCGAACCCCACAGGCGTTCGCCGAAAGGCAAAGGGACAGGAGAAGGGGAGAAAAGCCTCCGAAGGAGCCAGAAACGGGTTTTAGGAGCTGGAAATGAGACACAGGGAAAGCAAAGAGTCTGGAAAGAGTCGGCGTCTCCGCTCCGGCAGGCGGAGGTGAGAGCCATTTGGGCGCCGGGCTGGCCCCCGCCGGGGCTCCGGCCTCTCGATGCCGGTGGGTGACAGCGGGACCAGCTCCTGGGGCTCATCCATCCCCTGGGCCACGGCCACGCACCCAGCCATGGCCCGGTGTGCCGGGGGCTGTGCCGGGACAGGGACGGGGGAAGCTGATGGCAGCGCCATGGCACGTAGGTGCCCCTCAAGCACCCTGGAGGATGACGGGGATCCCACGAGCCCTTGGGAAGCGGGGACGGCTGTCACCCGGTGTCCCCTGCTCCTGGCTCTGCCTTTAGGGCAGCGCTCATGCCAGGACCAGCCTTCTGGCACCAGCCAACACTTGCCCCATGGGCCCACGGGACGGGCACCGCTGCCCATGGAGGGCAAAGAGGCACCAGAGCGGGACAGAATCCCGGCAGCCAGACTGGGAAAATCTAGCTCCATCAAAATCCGGCTCTGCCGAGGCTCCGGGGGCCATTTGCACGGTGCCACTGGCTGGGAAGAGGCTGCTTGGCCGTTGTGGCACGGCACCGGGCTGCAGCCTCTCTCGGGGCTCTCCCGACACACGGGGCACACGCAGCCACGGGGACACCGGGGACCTGCCGAGAGGCTCCGTCCCTGCTGGAGCAGGCCCCCGAGGATGGTTTTTATAAAGCTGTGGGTGCCCTGTTGGGCGCAGACAGTCTCTGGCAGGGTAGAGGTAAAGGAGAGAGGGGGAGCGGGGGTGTTGGGGTCGGGGTGGCAGCCGGAGCCAGGCACGCTCCGCCATTTGCACCCCTTTAACCCCAACGAGGAACGTCCCCGAAGAGGGAGAGAGAAATCTTTGTTAAAGGATTCAAGGCTCATTAAGCACAAAGTGAAACCGATCAGGAGCGAAGTCTGACAGCTTGAGTATTTTAGAGCAGGAAAAGCCCAAACCCTGTTAATCCCCCTTGCGCGTCCTTTCCAACCCGCGCCGGAGCCGGAGCCGGGAGGGAGCAACCTCAGAGTCTCTGCCTCCGCCGGGGTTTGTGCTGCTGAACCCCAGGTCACCAAGGAGAACAGAGGGGCTCTTCCCTCTCAGGCTCCTTCCTCGGCCACAAAGCGTCCCCCAGCTCCAGCAAACCGCTCCCCCAGTGCCATCCCAGTTTAGAAACAGGAGCCGCAGGTGGGGAAGCTGGAAAACTCCATCGCCTTCCAGTCATCAGCCCGTCCAGAGACCTCCTGCTCCAGCCTCGGAGACCACCCTCTCCGGTTCTTTGGCTGCTGGGGGCACTTTTGCATTAATTCTGATAAATTCCCATCGCCACTTTTGCATCAATTCCGATAAAATCACGTCACCCCTTTTGCATTGATTCCTATAAATTCCGTCACCACTTCTGCATCGATTCCAATAAACTCTTAAATGATCTTTAAGGTCCCTTCCAACCCAAACCATTCTATGATTCCATGAAATTCTGCATTGATTCTGACAAATTCCCATCATCATCTTTGCATCAATTCCAATCAATTCCCATCGCCACTTTCGCACTGATTCCGAAAAATTTCCATCTCCCCTTTTGCATCAATTCCGATAAATCCCATCACCACTTCTGCATCCATTCCGATAAACTCTTACATGATTTTTAAGGTCCTTTCCAACCCGAACCATTCTATGATCCCATGAAATCCCCACCGCCCCTTTTGCATCGATTCTGATCAATTCCCACCACCACTTCTGTATTGATGCCCATCAATTCCCATCGCCACTTTCACATCAATTCCGATCAATTCCCATTGCCACTTTTGCATCCATTCTGATAAATTTCATCTCCACTTTTGCATCGATTCCGATAAACTCTTAAATGATCTTTAAGGTCCCTTCCCTCCAACTTGAGATATTCTATGATCCCATGAAATTCCCATTGCCACTTTCGCATTGATTGCGATCAATTCCCATCACGACTTTTGCATCAATTCTGATAAATTCCCATTGTCCCTTCTGCATCCATTCCCATAAACTCTTCAGTGACCTTCAGGGTCCCTTCCAACCCGAACCATCCTATGATCCCATGAAATTCCCGTGCGGGAGCAGACCCCAGCAGACCCCGGTGGTACCAAGGCGTGTGGAGGGGCCAAGCCAGGCAGAATTCCCAGGTCCCCCCACCTCCTGCAGCCCCTCTGGATAACCCCCCCCCGGAGGCGGGAGCTCTGCGCTGTCCCAGGGGTCAAGATGCTTTAATTTGGCTGAGGAATGAGCCGAGCGAGGCTCAGGCTGGGGAGGGGGCACTGAACAGACCCTGCTCCAGGTTTTACAGCCAGATAACAACTCCACGGGTTTTATTGTGTGTTAAAGGAATAAAATAAACCCTCTTTTATCAGGATAAAAGATATTTTGACAAACGGTGAGGAAATGAAAGCAAGCTCCTCCGGAGCTGCAAACACAGCGCAGCTGGGATCTCACCGCCCGCTCGGCGCTGGGTGGAAGGGACCCTCCTTGGCTCTGGTGGCCACCGTCCTGGCCAGGAGAAGCCACCTTCATGCCCATGAGCCCAAAGCTGACCCAGCGGCAACGTGGTGGCAGCTCCAGCCCTTCACCCCAGGCTCAGGAGCTCAACAGGCTCCTCGGAGAGGCCCATCCCAGGAGGGAAGGAGGCAAAGACACCTCTCCTCTCCCAAAGAGCTCGGCTCCTCGCTCTCCTCCTTGGGAGAGCAGCTTGATCCCATCAGGATATAAATGGTCCTGTGCTGCCGGGTGCTGGGGTCAAACCAGCCCATCCATCCCTGTCAGAAGGCTTTTTTGCTCACATTTAGTGACTTTTTACACTGAAAGAGGGGAGATTGAGGTGAGATCTGGGGAGGAAATTCTTTGGTGTGAGGGTGGTGAGAGCCTGGCCCAGGTTGGCCAGAGAAGCTGTGGCTGCCCCATCCCTGGAGGGGTTCAAGGGCAGGTTGGAGGGGGCTTGGAGCAACCTGGTCTGGTGGGAGGTGTCCCTGCCCAGGGCAGGGGGTGGCACTGGGGGGGCTTTAAGGTCCCTTCCCACCCAGACCATTCCATGATTCTACGATGTTGTTTCAAACAATGTGACCTGATGGTGCACGATTCTGTCACAGAATCATAGAACCAGGGAATGGTTTGGGTGGGAAGGGACCAGCCTGTGGGGCTCCCAAAAACCTCCTCCTTCCCAAAAAGCCCCCACGATGTGCCATCCCAGCCCTTCTGCAGCCTCTGGCCGTGCCGGGGGGTTCCGCACCCAGCCCATGGCTCCACGGGGGAAAATGATGCCACGTCTCCCCTCATTAAAAGCCTGACGTGCTCCAGAGATGGCACCTACAAGGCAAAGGGACAGGAGAAGGGGAGAAAAGCCTCCGAAGGAGCCAGAAACGGGTTTTAGGAGCTGGAAATGAGACACAGGGAAAGCAAAGAGTCTGGAAAGAGTCGGCGTCTCCGCTCCGGCAGGCGGAGGTGAGAGCCATTTGGGCGCCGGGCTGGCCCCCGCCGGGGCTCCGGCCTCTCGATGCCGGTGGGTGACAGCGGGACCAGCTCCTGGGGCTCATCCATCCCCTGGGCCACGGCCACGCACCCAGCCATGGCCCGGTGTGCCGGGGGCTGTGCCGGGACAGGGACGGGGGAAGCTGATGGCAGCGCCATGGCACGTAGGTGCCCCTCAAGCACCCTGGAGGATGACGGGGATCCCACGAGCCCTTGGGAAGCGGGGACGGCTGTCACCCGGTGTCCCCTGCTCCTGGCTCTGCCTTTAGGGCAGCGCTCATGCCAGGACCAGCCTTCTGGCACCAGCCAACACTTGCCCCATGGGCCCACGGGACGGGCACCGCTGCCCACGGAGGGCAAAGAGGCACCAGAGCGGGACAGAATCCCGGCAGCCAGACTGGGAAAATCTAGCTCCATCAAAATCCGGCTCTGCCGAGGCTCCGGGGGCCATTTGCACGGTGCCACTGGCTGGGAAGAGGCTGCTTGGCCGTTGTGGCACGGCACCGGGCTGCAGCCTCTCTCGGGGCTCTCCCGACACACGGGGCACACGCAGCCACGGGGACACCGGGGACCTGCCGAGAGGCTCCGTCCCTGCTGGAGCAGGCCCCCGAGGATGGTTTTTATAAAGCTGTGGGTGCCCTGTTGGGCGCAGACAGTCTCTGGCAGGGTAGAGGTAAAGGAGAGAGGGGGAGCGGGGGTGTTGGGGTCGGGGTGGCAGCCGGAGCCAGGCACGCTCCGCCATTTGCACCCCTTTAACCCCAACGAGGAACGTCCCCGAAGAGGGAGAGAGAAATCTTTGTTAAAGGATTCAAGGCTCATTAAGCACAAAGTGAAACCGATCAGGAGCGAAGTCTGACAGCTTGAGTATTTTAGAGCAGGAAAAGCCCAAACCCTGTTAATCCCCCTTGCGCGTCCTTTCCAACCCGCGCCGGAGCCGGAGCCGGGAGGGAGCAACCTCAGAGTCTCTGCCTCCGCCGGGGTTTGTGCTGCTGAACCCCAGGTCACCAAGGAGAACAGAGGGGCTCTTCCCTCTCAGGCTCCTTCCTCGGCCACAAAGCGTCCCCCAGCTCCAGCAAACCGCTCCCCCAGTGCCATCCCAGTTTAGAAACAG